ACTAAATTTAAGTAATCAATCAATTTCAGAAGATATTGAAGAAAATATAGAGCCATCATTTTTACCAAAAAAGAAACATCATATGTATCCAAGTTTTCAATTAAACTTAGACTCGACAAATAAAAGTAGTGATGAAGAAAAGTTTGAAAAAATAGATGAAGAATTAAATGATAAATTAGTTAAGCAATTCAATGAAGAATCAGGCGAAGAAGTTAAAGAAATTGAAGAATCAATGGAAGAGTTAGATAATAAATGGGATGATGAAGAATTAGATAAATGATCAACAAAAGAAAGAATTTATAGTAATAGTAATGATTTTGAAGACTATTCTGCTCCAAATATTAATGATGATGACCAGACTAGATTTAAACCTAGCTTTAATCTGCCTTTGGAATATGAATGGATTCTGCTTTGGTTACTAAAGTTTCAATCTTGATTCAATTTATCCGAAGCTGCTATTGATACTTTAATTAAATTTATTTATATAATTTTAGTTGAAATAGATAGAGAAATTCAATTTAGTCACTATCCAAGCTCAATTTATATTGTTCGAAAATATTTCAAAATTAGTAAAAACTTTATGAAATATGTTACATGTCCAAATTACAATAAATTATATAAAAAGGATGATGTGGTTGGTTCACGAAATAATAAAGGGTAACTAGAAATTAAAAAATGTAATCATATCAAATTTCCAAACATGATTGGCACTCAACAAAAAAAAATATGCAATTCTGCTCTAGCGGTTTAAAAAAAATATTTAAATGGAATTAAAAATGAGCCAATTTTATTGTTTCCAGCCTCTAGTATTAAAAATTATTTATTAAAAATGTATAAACGGCCAGACTTTAAAGAAGTATGCCATAAATGGACGTGTCGAACTATAAAGGATGGTGTTATTTCTGATATCTATGATGGTCAAGTTTGGAAAGAATTTGAAGACAAGTCATCAAATGGTGGCCAATTTTTTACACATGAAATGGCTAATTCACATCTCAGTCTTATGTTAAATTTAGACTAGTTTAAACCTTTTGCTAATACACAGTATAGTATTGGCGTAATTTATGCAACAATTTGTAATTTACCAAGAAAAGACAGATTTAAAGTCAAAAATGTAATAATTCTTGGTATTTTACCTGGACCAAATGAGGTTTGTTTGCATTATATAAATCATTTCCTTGTACTAATAGTTAATGAATTATGTCAACTTTGGGATAGAAAACAAATATCAACTTATGAGTATCCTTTAAAAAAAACAGTTCATGCTGCTGTTATCTTATGTTCTTGTGATATACCTGCAGATCAAAAATTATGTGGTTATATTTCAGCTTTAGTGGCTTGTCATCATTGTGAAAAACATGCTCAATATAAAAATCGTCATCATCATTTTGGAGGTATTAAAGATATGGATTCATGGTTTATTCAGCGAGATTCTATTAAGCATAGGTGTGATGCAGAAAAGTGGAGAAAGTGTTATATAAAGTCAGGTAAAAAACAACATACAAAACTGACACAGGTTCGATGGTCTGAGTTACTTCAGCTACCTTATTTTGATCCTGTTCGATTTATGGTTGTTGATCCAATGCATTGCTTATTTTTAGGCATTGCAAAATGAATCGTAAAACGATTATGAGTTGATAATGGTTAATTAAATACTCAAACTCTTAAGTTAGTTCAAAAGAAAATATCAGAAATTCAAGTTCCATCTGATATTAGGCGGATTCCAAAAAAAGTTGACAGCGATGAAGGATTTTCACATTTTACAGCTGATGAATAGAAGAACTTTATTTTAATTTATTTGATACCTTGTTTATAGGACCATCTTTCAGAACCGGATCAGAGAATTCTTAATAATTTCATATGAATCTGTACTATTCTTGTATGTTGAATTATTAATGTGGCCGCATTAAATGAAGCACATGATCGACTAGTTCTTCTTGTAAAGCAAATAGAAGATGAATATGGCGAAAAATATATTACACCAAACCTTCATCTGGCACTTCATATTAGCCAATGTTGCTTTGATTATGGTCCACTTTATGCATTCTGGTGCTTCTCTTTTGAACGAATGAATGGTTATCTTGGGTCTTTGCCAAATAGCCGCCGCAAAATTGAGCAAGAATTAATGCGCCGACTTATGCAAGATTTTATAGTCAATGATCTTATTAATCAAAAAAATTTTCAACAAGGATTTGATTTGTTTCAAAATCAAAAAACAATTGGAAGTTTGGCTTTACCAGATGAATTTGAATCTGCAGAATTATATAGGTTCCTTCAAATGTCACGAAACATTGAATTAAATTCTGTTAGTGGCTCAGAAGATTTTCCTGGTAAATTCTTGAATCCTTCAAAGACAAACATACTATTACCGGATGATTTTCTAAAAATTTTAGTAGAATATTATTCAACCGCCTATCCTGATCATTCATTTAAAGTGCCATTTCAAGAAAGTCAAGAGAAGTCAACCACAATTTATCCATTCGGAGATCAATTTGGTCGTTTACAAATTTGTTCTGAAATATTTGGATCAACTATGTCAATGCGACATGTAAAAAGTTCTTTTATAATGGCGAATTTTATTAATCAGGATAATAGTTCAGACACTTATGCAGGACAAATTCAGTTCTTTATTCGGCATACAACTAAAATTGGCGATAATGATGTTGAGCATAAGTTAGCATATGTACGTTGGTACAAGCCAGTATCAAGTAGCTCATTACGATTCTTATTTGGTATAGATGAGGAAGATGAAAGATTGTGTAATATTGAATTATGGGAAAAAAATTTCTATTCTATTAATCGTGATTGCATAATTCCTATTCACCAAATTTTAAACCGATTTGTGCCAGCATTTTACAAAACAGCACAAAGAAAAAATTCTAAAGAATACCTTGCTGTTATACCAATTAATAGAAAGTTTCATTTATAATTTTATGTATATATGTTATATATTTAATAAACGTAACATTCACTAATCACTGATAAATATAGTAAATTGTCAATTTGCGGTTGCACAATACTGCAATATAAATAACAATGTAATTACTATCATTGAGATCATTCTCTCCTGGAAGTTATGATCAAAAATTTCAACGAATTTATAGCAGCCAAATTATCATGTATAGAAATAAATAAGATTTATACGAAGTCACCAATAATTAATTTGTTTAAGAATAAAGGCTAAGTTTCTACATGATTTCATATGCTTTTACGTACACGCTTTCATTATTTTTATCATTCATTGAATATTCTTTGGATTAATAGAGTTACTGCCACAGTCAT